AAAATGTAAATTATTTATAATTATTTATTGAGTAATAATTTATAAACCTTAAATGAGTTGATTACGATCGGGACAACCAGTTGATTTCAAATAACATTTAATCTGCGCTTGCGCTGCCTTCTATCTCAAAAACGATTCAACGTATGAAAAAATGTTTGAAACAAAAGTTGTTGACAATTCAATTCTCTACAATACTGATAATAAATACAATTAGCATAAAACCCATTGGAAACGAGATATTGGCAAAAAACGTGCAAAAAGTCAGTTTTTTTGACTTTTGACCCCCAATTTTTGAAGTTGCGGCCATCGAATCATATAAGAATTTTGAGAATACTTTTATGATGCCAAAATACAAAGTTTATACAAAATTACAGCTGGGTATTTCCACTTTCCTAGGCTAACCCCCTAAAATGACTGGACTACTAGTGTTTTGTCAAGAACAACCGGCATGATGCTGTTGCAATGGTTAATGAAGATCTTGAAAATTTTTCGAGCTTTTCAATCGCGCACGATTTAAAACTGCACTCTAAAAAATCCCAGGTACTTCCGATAGGTACTAAACGTAAAACGGCTGAATTAGTAAAAAAATTATGTCCGAATGGGGTGTGATAAAATTCCTGTAATTGGTATATGTGGTTAGACACAGACCTTGGATTTAATAAACATGTTAGTACTCTATGTCAAGGCTCCTACTACATCATACGGCACATTACCATAACCCAAACTATTATGTGACTCCCAAACTAAAACTTTGTGAAAGTCTCATTCTATCTAAAGTCTGCTACTGTACGAACCTGCATTAATTCTATCTGACTTGAAACGCCTGTACAGAAAAAATAACTGTGTTTTTATTGCATATCGGGTAAGGAAATTCAACCATATTTCACTGAAACTCGAAGAGTCAGACTGCTTAAAACTTCATAAAAGCTACTCACAAATTCCTATCTGAAAAAAACCATCATGTATATTTGAAAGGTACATTTGGGTGCCTTAGTCAATCAAGAACGTGAAATCGGGATAAATTCATCATTCCCAAACACTCAGCCCGTTTCACTTGGAGCTTCATATACAGCTCCATCATCTTTTACAATGCTCTACCATGTGAATTCAAACGTTACTTTTTTATGATTCCAAGAAAAAAATCAAAAACTTATTTACGCACGTCCAAATTATTCTAATTTGAAACTCATACCTCTGTTCTACCCCTTGGCGATTCTTTTGTGGTGAGACTATCATGTTTTTTTGTACCTCTTATTTTGTTGAATATGTATGTGTTTAATAATGTTAATGCTGTATTTATTTATACAGGGTGTTCCTTAAACACATGCTAATATTTAAGGAGGTATTTCTTAGATCCATTTTAAGGAAAAAACGTCCTATGGACGTATGTCCTAAACGCCTTAACTTTTGAGATACAGGGTGGCCAAGTTTTCAAAAATAATCAGTTTTTTAATAANCGGTATATTTGAGTGTGTTTGTATGTATGCTGTATATGTATTAGTTTTATGGTTGCTTGATATTATTTTTTTCTAATTTTCAAATTTTCATTATTAGTATTATTATTATTACTGTCATTATTGAATAATTAATTCAATATTAGTACATCTCTGAGTTTGCCAGATTTCAAGGATATACCGTAGGTTTGAGCCCATTAGACGTGTTTTTCCACTGAGCGCTCATAACTAACTCCCCTTCCAAAATTGTCAACACTCCTATTCGGTAGAATATAAAAATAAGCTCGTTCAAGTCTTTATTGAAAAAAGAATGCACGAATCCTTGATAAGAACACAGCTCTTCAAATTCAAATATCAAACGGTAGATGGCACTGCCTGTTATTTCAGATTGGATTTTTGTTAGCACTTCTGTGAGTAAAATCCTAATCCCTAATATGCATTTCAACTAGAATGCATTCAGCATATCCAACTCGATGATTGTTAATACCAGGGGTGTAGGTAACGACTGTTTATTGCACCCGAAATTTATGAACAGGCAAGTTTAAGTCTGTCCAATTTCTCGTATTTCCTCTACCTGTAGGTTAAGTTTACTCTTTTACTGAAGTCCAACTACTCCGGAGATTCGCTTCTCCCCACCATTGTCCAGTGCCGTCCTCACCACCGGTCCATCCTGTAAGAACAATAATAAATAAACATTTTATTTGTTATTGACCGACGCTATCGGACAAGTGTGCACCTTGTGACATCAGATAACGGAGTTTATTCCGAGTTTTGTCGATTATGGAGGACGATCGTTGTGATTTTAGTATATTCAGTGTGTGAATTTGAACATTTCGCCCGTTCTGGTGTTACGAGATTCGTGAAAATAAGTTAATTGCGCCTTCAGTGACGTTTTCAGTGTCCTTTTTATCGATGTGACCCACAACATGGTGAAAGTGAACATTCCGATCAGTGTCAAGCAGATGGTTCCCAGGATTTTCACCGTGGAGAACTATTTTCGAAACATCAGGTTGGAAAACAACATTATTCTTTTTAGGCGCTTCTGCCACAGTTCTAACAACTTTGTACTGTCGTTACTCGCGTTATTTTAATTCCTTTGGACTTTTAACGGTGAAAACCCATAACATTGAGATTCGGAATCTAGCGGAAAGGTCGATACAGGGTGGGATAAAAACTTGATATCATTGATTTTTCTATTATAGGTGAAGTTTTCAGACCAGAGACAAGAAATGTCGATATGTTGTTTTTTCTTTTGAAATTATATACGTGCATTTCAAAATATTGATGTGTTTTTATGGTTCTGCGACACTACCAAATCGCAGACTAATCGCATTCTTTTTTGTGTCCCGACTTCAAAAGTTGAATTATCACTTTAGATAATTACAGTTTCAAACAGATATTTTCAAACTGAAATTAGGAACTTGAGATGTGAAATTAGAATACAATAAAAGTGAAGACGACCCTACTTTAATTGTTGCGTAAGAAGTCTTGTATATATGTTTAAAATATGTTTTTTTCCGTTAACCAGCTATCGCACCCCTACGAACGACAACCCTCAGAAGTCGAAACTTGTGCGAGTTAAGGACTAACGAGGTCTTACCATTTAACGTTGTGATTCCTAACAAGTTTGGTTTCTTATATTTGGACAAAGTTGTAGAATACAATGCAGAAAGGCATTTTTGATGAACTTCTCAGTGAAGTTTACTCTTCAAATGACCTGGAAAACTATAATATTTTCATTTATTTCACTAAACAATAGTACATTGACAGATAATAGGCCTACACGGTCTGTCGGGGTACTTTGTGGGAATGAATAAAACTTCTCATCCGTCCTCATAGCTCCTTTATTCTGGAAGAAGCCATAGTCCCATCAAAAAATAAGCTGATCACTGTAATAAGTTTGAGTATAGGATACTGTACAATTTGAAGAAAGCCCGACAACTTAATGTTTCGCTAACGATTGTTGACTTGGATTTCAGTCGCTGGGCGGTAATTATACTTTAATAACCTTTCTGTTGTTGAAGGTAGAGGACAATGCATACCCCTGAGGGTACGTTAGAAAGGGGACAGGCGCCCCCGCCCTATTCAGTTCCTAATACTGTCCACGATGGTTTGTGCGACGGGGAAGACGAAGAAATTATGCAACCGCATCTCATGTCGCTGCCCAACAAGGACCAGTTCAGTAACTTCACTCACAGGTGAGTCAATTTATTGAAAAATACACATTGTAAATGAATATTGGAAGTATAATGAAGGGTAAACCTCGGGACAAACAAAATTTTGTTCACTAATTCCCGTATAGGCGCAAGTAATACCTCTAATTTCCGAGCAGTACTCAAGTAATACGTCTAATTTCCGAGTAATACTCAAGTAATAGCGTACTAGGAATCGCACGTTGAAAGGCAAGACCACGTTAAACCTTAGTCCGCACGAGTTTCGGCTTTTGAGAGTTGTCGTTCGTAGGGGCGACAACTGGTTAACGAAAAAACAGATTTCAACAGATTTACTAGATCTTAATTGATCACATATTCCCGAGCTAATTCCCAACTAACTCTGTAATTCTCGAGCAACTCCCGTAATTCCCGGGTAATTCATAGGACTTGTACACCAAACATTTTCCTGTAGTTTCCCACTCGGGGCAAACATCCTAAAAATATTTAATAGTATTACTTGTAATTCCTGAGTGATACATAAGTTATATCTGTACCCCATTACAAATTCCCGATTAATACCTGTAATTATGGAGCAATTTCTTTATTTCCCGTTAATTATCTAGTAATTTCTGAAATCACACTTATAGTCGAAGTAACCGATATAGTAATTCTTAAAGCTATCGGCGAAGTTAAAGGCCAAAAAACCAATACAAAGAAATAATGCCGCTACGAATTAGTCCACGTGGACTGAAGAATTGGCGGTTCGTATTGGATAATTTTTACTAACCGACTTTTATGATTGGCTGAAGAATCATAAAATTAAATTTGAAATCATGTTACGGTGACCAATAGAATGTGAGGATGGTTAAAAGAGTCGTGTTGTCAATGTTCAGTTCAGGAACTGATCGCGATTTGAGTTTTGAGCCTAGTTACAGTTCATTGTCCTTCGGATCATCATATGAAAAGACGTAACTCTTGTCAACTGCCCTGCAAAATCACTCGCCAAATAAAGTATTCGGCTTTTTTAAGCAGATGTAGTTTGAATAGGTGCGAGCCACAATAAACCCTTGCGGGTTGTTGGAGAGGTTCGAAAAGATCCACTCACTTTGATCCTACTTATGCACTTCTACGAAGTAATATTGGACGCTAAGCCAAAAACATGAAACAACATTCAGTGGAAGTCAAGGTAAGAGATAAAGGACAATATATAGCACTGGTGGAGCTACCTAGGAAGTAAAAGCCGAAGAAGAAATTGCGAGTAATCATTTTGTTTCCCCTTTTTCCATTACATCACATTTTGCTACTTTGAAGTACTGATAGCCCACAGTCTTTTTAATTGTCTCAAAAGGCTAAAGTTTCATTGCATTTTCTCCGAGGAATTCTTTGCTCTCGGAAACGTTGAAGGACATGGCCACCCGACGTCTTTTAAGGTTATATAAGGAAAAGTCACAACTTGTGACTTATGATCGAAAATTACGTTCCACAAAATTCTCTATGTGATCTATTAAAACATCAAACAAACTGCCCCGATTTGCTTCCCAATGATTTTCTGATTCATAACACGGGTCCATATCAGTTTGAATATTGAAATTAGCATTATCCTTCAACCAAAAATTACACTTCCGTGCAATGGGAATCACAGGGAATTACAGAAGTTTTTATTCACAGTTCTATAAACAAATTACTGTTTGCAACCTCCTGTAGGAGAAACCAGAGTATTATAATGAATCCAGTCCACTGAAATTGATATTTTTTATAAAGATGCATAAGCACTGAAGGAAACTCTGAGAACACTCTGAGAGCGGTTCCTGTTTGAAAATGACGATTTATATTCATATGGAAAATCATTGCGAGAAGTTTATTACAAAAAATTGTTTTCTCAAAATGGAAGAGTTAATAAGAGGTGATCATTGAGATACACTGAGGTTCAACATACTTTGCTGCTCTTGGGGGAATCAAGTGGTCCAAGTGAGTGACTATTCCAACTTCCAGTGCAACCCGATAGGGTTTATTATGGCTCCAACCTATTCAAACTCGATCAAATAAATCCAGCATTTTAACGAGACCGATTACTTCATTTGGTGAATGATTTTCTACTAACAATCAGGAGACGCTAATCAAAATTCTTGTTGTTGGCAGGATGTGGATTAGCATTTGATGCTCAAACACAAATGATTTTTAGAAACGAAGCAATATATTGGAACTCTGATCTTTTCCAACAAGTCATTGATGTACCAATCTCTGGGAAACACCAGTAATGATGGTAATGATATTTAAAAGAGAAACATCGATGGCTACTTATGGCACGTGTATAAATTACATCAAACTTATCAGACACTATAACCAGGAAAATCATGAATAGAAAGGGGGGTTTGAGTGATACCTCATTCTGAAGGTTGTTCAGCTATCTTTTCAAAAATACCACATACTTATTTTTAGTACTTTCGGAGAAATCAAGTGAAACCGTTGAGTATCAAATGTTTTGCAATAAAATCTAAACAGTGATAGCGCCTGATATAGTCCTCTCTTATATTCCGAAAAATTTCTGCCAGGAGTCCTCTACACGCAGCTGTTATTCTGCTCAAATCTTCCAATATCGATTTTAGATGCCTCCATAGGAAGATATTTGGAGGTAGCCCTTCAATTATTCCTAAATTAAATGAACTGACGCCTATCAGAAAACAACTACTTCCGTGGCTAATACCACAAAGGAAACCAGGAAATCATTCAGCCACTGTCGTAGCTGGAAGAAAGTAGTGTGGTGGAGCTCTTCGGAGAGATCGTCTTGCAAAATCATGTTACTGCATGATTTTGATTTTCCAAACTGGTCATTATTGAGGGGTTAGGTTAGGTTAGGTCCAAAGTGAGTAGGTCTATTCGACTCTCCACCGCAACCAGCAAGGGTTTATTGTGGCTCACACCTATTCACACTCGATCAAATAAACCCGGCTTCTGAACGAATCCGATTGGTTTGTATACTCAGATGGTAAGAGTACGGCTCTGCCGAACTCTTAAAACCTGATTCGGTCCCCAGCGGGTCAGGCACAAAGTATGTGCTCTGCTGTTTTATCATTTTCCAAATAGAAGCGATATACACTGTCTTCCGACAGTCCGAGTCTCTACATATGATGATTCAAATGAGAGTGACTTGTAAGAAGGCCTGTTAGACATCGTAGTTCATCCCTACTGTAGTCCAACAACTGTTTGGTATCAAGCTTCGAAGGGTGAATAAACGCCAATCCTGGAAGATTCTGCCAGAAGTCCATAAACCTTGTTGCCATCCAGGTGTTCAATTTTTCTTTGGCAAAGCCCAAAGCGATGCCAATGACAGGTTCTGGTCCGATGAAGCTGCTTGCAGCACCTTCCTTTTCAAGGGAGTCAGCAGTCTCATTGCCTTCCAGGCCAGTATGGCCAGGAATCCAGACCAGAGACAATCTGTTATGTCTTTCTAACGAGAAGAGTCGTTTTTGTCAATTTGCTACCAATTTAGACGTTGCTCGGTAGGAGCCAAGAGCTTCCAACGCCGCTTGACTGTCCGAGAATATTTTTATTGACTTGTGTATGAGGTTGGATTCTTCCAATCTCTCCGCACACATTGGGTTGGATAACGCGTGACGAATTCCTGGAACCTGTTATGATAATAAATCCACCAGCTCCGGAGGAATTGCTTAACAAAATATTTTGGAACTGTAAGAATGGTGGTGGTTCGCGATGTGGCTGCAGGAAAGCAGGGTTGCGGTGCTGCTTTTCAGCTTGCGGCCAGTGTAATGGGCAAGCTTGTCTTAATGGCTTGTGTTAATGCTTTGACCCCGAAAACCTGGAAGAACTGAAGACAAATATCATTGAAGAGGAGAAAACAGAGAAATTTGAAATTTTACAGCGACTGGAAGACGATGATGATGAAGAAGAATAAAATTGAAATTAGAACTTGTGGTTCTCATTTTTTTAAATTTCAACGTTCATAAATGTATAAAATTGTCCGAGAATATTTTTATATGTGTATGACGTTGGATTCTTCCAATCTCTCCGCACACAATTCAGTAGCATAAATTTCCGCCTAAAATACAGTCGCATATGTTCCTAGGCAGGTTGATATTTTTGTCCTGGTCTTCCGATTGAAAACACCTGCACCAGAACGAGAAGGTGCTATATTTCCTTCTCCCGGAGGATCCAGTCCTCTCTACTCGGAAACAGTATTTTATAAGACAGTTCGTAGTTGACAGTTGGAGGCATAAAGGCAGAGGTCATTTCCAGGATGCTGTGATTTCCAGTGTCAACCAACAGTCTGTTGCCCTTTGCATTAAATTGATTTGTGCAATTGGCAATGTGCACAAGTCTATATGTAGTCCATCCAGCCTCTCTCTCCAGAAACATGTGGAGAGAAGGTAGATCTAGAAAGATCTCCATTACCGCTGACGGTGTTGTACTGATGGCACCACTGCTAGCCAGACAAGTCTGTCTCTGTAAGCCAGAGAGCTTCGCCTGGATCGTTCTCTGTAAAGCCTTCGGCCACCAGGCAATTGCACTATAAGTGATCATTGGTCTGACAATCATCACATAAATCCAATGGATTTGTTTGGGACCTAAACCCCAGGTTTTACCACAAATCCTTCGACATGTTCATAGAGGCAGCCTGTCTTCGTGTAAAACTTTTTCCAAGTGAGCGTTCCAGGTGACTTTTTTATCAAGGACAATACCAAGATATTTCACCTTCGTTCCAAATGGAATGACCTCACCATTGGGGGAAAGTGGCGTTAGATCGTCCAATTTTCTCCTCCTGGTGAAGGGGATTATCAGTTTTTCTGGGATTATGTTTCTGAACGAAATGTTTCGTTAAGCGGTTCCTATCTTTTAATTTAAATAAAACAAAGTCTCGGTGAGATATCAGTTTTTTATACGTTTGAAAGACCTATTGATGCCATTATGTGTGGGATAAAAAGAACATTAACACTGTCTGCAAAAGATGGTTAAACTTCTGCAACAATTCAACAAAGAACAAGTTACAAAATTGCTACGTTATTTCGACATTCAAAAATTCAAAAATC